AATGTCGGGCGACCCTTGGAATTACGAATTATGGGAGCTTCGTTTGGGAGACTTCATAACAGCATCCTGTTACAATCATTTCTTGTTTTATTTGAATGTTCTCACAATATGTTATCCCTAAGACTTGTTTTCGCTTTCTATACAGTGAGTGATCTTTTGTTCATTAATATTATGGAAATTTAGAACATACTCATCCCTTATCGTCCAATGAAAAGTCAGTTTATCCTTTTTGTCCTCGCACAACTATGTTACTGCTACTGCTGTTTCATTCCATCCATTGAAATGATCATTACCTATGTTATACATTCGATTTGTTAACCTAGTTAACACTTCATTATAAAAAGTGAATTCTTATCAAGGTATGAATATTACAATGGGAAAGGATAATTTTGTAAGTCACTCGAAAGTATGAATATGTTCTAAATTGGTCAGACAATACTTGGTCACCTTGGTCTTTAAATCTTCATAAAACATGACCAAGTATTGTCTAACCTTTACTTGTAGTTGTTTATGTCCTGATTTGTTTCCATAGTTAATAGTTGACTCATTGACAGTCTTGCCACACTTCATTATTTTCATATTAATTTTAAAATAACTTTGTTCGCCGAAACATTTTTATTTCGTTGCTCTCCCTATAAAACACAAGCTCCAAAAGGAAAGGGTTATCTTCTGTTCGTCCGTTCCTCGAGGGGTCCGTCTGTTTGTACGAACGTGCATATTTAAATCCGAGTGTCTGTTTGTTCTTCCGGCTAAGCCTCGGTTGACAATTTTTTCGTGTGTTATTAATATATTATTATACTTCACGTTAAAATGCCATATTTTGATTGGCTAATACGAGGGTGTTAATTTACTCTATTACCCTTCATGGAGAAGCTTGATCAAGTGTGCACTTTATTAAATACGACTCTATGCTATGGCAAATACTCTATTACCCTTCAAGTAGACGCTTGATCAAGTGTGCGCTTTATCAAATACGACTCTATCCTATGGCGGCAAATACTCTATTACCCTTCACGGAGACGCTTGATCAAGTGTGCGCTTTATCAAATACGACTCTATCCTATGACAAGTACTCTATTACCCTTCACGGAGACGCTTGATCAAGTGTGCGCTTTATTAAATACGGATGGTTGTTATGTACAAGACGTTTTAGCTTATTACTTTGAATTTGAAATTTAATCGACAGTAATAACAGAACATTCAGTACAATAAATTAAATAACACATATCTGAGAGGGTGATAGAGCAGATTGTTACCCCTCGAAAAGACATTGTCAACCTTGGCTTCGCCTCAGTTGACAATGTTTTCTCGGGGTAAAAATCTGCTCTATCACCCTCTCAGCTATGTGTTATTTATATAATATCATACCAATCGTCTGTTCCTTCACCTCCATGTTTATGTTTCTCTTCGTCGAACACATCTTAAAAATGTCATGCACATACATACAATTTTTGTCACATTTTTCTCAGCAACTACATGTCAAATTTTTATTGATCTATGCTATTGCAATATCTCAAAGTATATTTTGGATAATTAGTTATTGCCATACTCTTGTTTTTATCCTCATTATAATGTCATTCGACTATTTACATTAGTTTATAATTAGTTCTTTTTTTAGTTTGAAAGTTAATTTAATTATAATGAAAGCTAGATTGGAGAAGTAGTCATAAAATGGGTTTTTAATTTTTAGTATGATCGTAAATAATACGCGATCATGGCGCTGTATTATTTAAAATTCACAATATAGTGGCTAGTATTTCATTACACCCGGTATTAATTCACATCTTTGTTATGCTGTCACTAGCCTAACAATTGTTTAATAGAAACCCGATATCACACGAACTTTAAACGTAGTATTTTTTATGATGTGTTTAACGAGTGATATCGTTAATCAAAGAGTATAAAGTCTTTTATTCCCGTTATTTTTAACGTATTATTGAAAATATCAAATAATTGTATAGGGTAACAATAGCACTCAGGATAAGCAAATAAGCGTGTGTGTCTTGTGATTGTTTAACATGTTTTTTAATTAACCAAATATTACTATCCACATTTACAATTCAGGTGTATGCTTTTATAAGTAATTGTTAAAGTGATAAAGAAATTTTCAGGTTAAATGAAATTGTTTTAAAGCGGCCTTATAACAGACGGATCTTCCGATGCAAATTTCCTTTAATTCATGTCTCCAAATGCAATCCATTATCAAATGTTTTAATTTACAACCCACCCACCCCTTCCCCCCACTCCTAAAGAAAAAACAAGACGCAAGCCTTGTCAAAAAATATCTTTTTCTAATTTCAATGCTTTTAATTAAGGTTATGATTATGTCCATGTAAATAGGTTTTGAACATTTTCTTTCATATGAATGTGCTTTCTTGTTTGACGCTTGTTATCAAGGAGACGTAAAGGAAAATGTATCCCCTTGGTAGCCTCAATTTGTACCGTAGGCTACAACCAGGAAGTTCAGGTAATATGAGTGGAATTAGGTCGTTTCAATGGTATCAATACTGTAGTGTCATTTACTTCTATATTAAAAGTAAACTAATGACTCTTGGTTTGTTTTTTAAAATACAACAATGCCAACATAAATCAAAGCTTATATAGGTTTTAAAATTTCAAATTTAGTAGCCTGAAGCTTCATTGATGAGATATTAATTTCAAAATGCTCATCTGGTGCAGTTAACCTGGCACCGTTTTATATTATTAAATGCATTTGGATAATTATCATGAATACTTGGGTTTACTGTCAATGAGGAAAAATCGTGTAGAACGTTGACCTAAATACGGAACTGTATGTAGTTCTACATTATTTGTTTTTGCAGGAATCAGGCTCTGAATCTGAAGATCTATGAAAATACTAGAAAAAGAGAGGCGAAAATACCACAGGGACATCAAACTCATAAGTCGAAAATAAACTGACAACGCCATGGCTAAAAAAGAAAAAGACGAACAGACAAACAACAGTACACAAAAAAACAAAATAGAAAACTAAAGGATGAGCAACACAAACCCACCCAAAAAGCTGAAGGTGATCTCAGGTGCCCCAGTAGGGTAAGCAGATCCTTCTCCACATATGGCACCCCTCGTGTTGCTCATGTAAGTGGAAACCCGGTGATGAGAAATATTAGTTTATCCAAAGCTTTATTCATAAATTCTAATTTTAGAAAATATTTCGTGTGATTTCGTCTTTTTGATGTGTATCCTTTTCAGATCCTTTTGACCATTTAACTCGTTCGAATTGTTTTAAATTATGTTATGTCATGAACTTTCTACGGTTAGGTTTTGCTGACGGTCGAATAGATAACTCTTAGATTTGTAGTCTTTCATGAAACATCATAGGAAAATTAACAAAGGAAATATTCTTTCATTAATTATTAGTGCGAATGTTATCTAATTATCCCCGATCAGGTTTGAGCTAGTTATACCTTTTTATGGCGTTCAAACGAGCTTTCACGTAGTTTTTACTGAATAGTAAAAGAGGAAAAGGATAGTATTTTTTGTTATTTCAATTTTGAAACGCTAGCACTGTCTACGCATTTACTTCATGTGAAAAGACCGTTCGATTATTTTTTTTTGTTTTCTCCGCACTTTCGTTTCTCGAATGTCGCTTTTGATTTGCGACATGTCGATACAATATTTGATATATGATATAGAATAGTTATTGAGTTTCAAAACTCCCCCTGTTCAAGCGATTACTTTTCCATTTGGGAGTTACCTCCCCGTATATTGTTTTTGTTTTTGGTTATCGCTTTAACCCAGTGTTCGTTACTGCCACATGACGATCTTGGAGACATATAGAGCATTTTGATATTTGGTCCGTTGTCCATGAGATCAAGGACAAAGGTTTTTTGAAATTTCTTTGTTATCAACATGAGGGTTTTGTTAGAATTTAAAATCAGACATGACGCAAAGCCAATACATTTTGATCAAAGTTCTCTGTTGACTTTTTATGCAAGTTTTTTTCTCTCCTGAAATATTCAAAACACAATGTTTTGTAGGATAACTCCTTACCAATACATAATACATACCTGTGGTCTTTTATATCCACGACCCTTGAACTTGAATTTGAGGTTTGAGGTTCTAGATTTTGACCTTTGGTATAACTGCATACTGGTATATGGTAACGCCATGAGGTTTTCGCATTAGGTTTGAAAAAATGGTCAACCGGAAAGGACCTTGTTAAACAGTAAGTATACATTTTTGCACCAATTACACGAATTACCTACACACCATATAATTTTAGAATCAGTGTTAAATAACATATAAAATTACATATAAAACTGGAAGTGACATTCTGTAAACCGGAAGTAGCTAACTATCTCCATTGTTGAAAGAAGAGGTATAAGAAACCATAGATTTTTTGAATAAGTGTAAGTTGGCTATCATAAGAGACCGGAAGTAGAATTTTTTACAGGCAATTTTAAATCCCTTAGAAACTAGGCGTAACTTCATAGTTGTCTGAAATTTGTTTCAAGGGATTCATCGAAGACTTAAAGAACAATCGATTACAATACTAATAAAGGTAATGGAAAAATTAACGGTTGCATTTCCACTGCAACAGATGTGCATTTCGACAAAAAAGTATCCCTTCAATGATGCCCGAGGCCAAACAATTTGAAAATAAAAGTTTGAAGACTTGAAATAACCGACAAAAAATAAACTCGAAAAAATGAAAATCTAAAATATTAGTACATAACAAAACATTGAAATAACCATAACCCACTATTAATTATTTTATCAAACACAGAGCTTTAACCATACTATATTTTATACTTATATGCTTATATTATTTTCTTGTCAAATGTTACTGTGATTTGAAGATAAAAGATATACCGATTGCACAAATGACAAAACATAGTAGCTATCGATACAATTTAAACACACCCTTGAATTTTAAGAATTTCTTGTAACCTGTTTTTTCGAAAAGACAATTACTCATCAACAATAACCTTTAAATTGAGAATTTTGCAGCCAATCAAATTCTTTTACACATGTGTATTGTTAGATACATTTTAAATAAGTAAGGGAATTGCAAAGACTGGTCGTCTATAGCTATTATTGGGAAAGTGTCATGGCAGCATATATGGTATGTTGAATTAACGTTAACAATGAATGGTATATCAGATATTATTAAAATAATTCATATTCTTTCAACAATGCAAAATATGTTATACATTAGGTATTCCTAGTAGTTTTTGAAGTTATAACGATCTTCAACTTGCTATCTAAATCATACACTAAGTAGAAATTCCAAGTTGCTGATTTTTAAAATGGAGCAGTAACCTGAAAAGATGACTCGCAAAAAATTAAAATTTCTAGACATAAAACGTGATAATTTTGGTAAAATATTATTTAAAAAAAATTGCATTAAAAATGCATGAATATCCTAACTTGATTATACATTCAGACAAACGTGTTTAAAACAAAAAAAGTGACGTCGGGCCAGTTTTCTGATCTGTGTGTCCGTCCGTATATTTGCAAATATACTTAAAAATGAAGTTCTGGGCACATCAACTTGAAACTTAATACGCATGTTCGTTATGATGTGAATTATTTTTACCTTCTAAAGTTCAGTTACTGAGATCCCCACAGGCGATCTATTTTAAACAAAACATATATAAAATCAAAATTATATGTACATACCGAGTCTTAGGTATGATATCTCTTATTAAGGCTTTTTGAAATTCGATTATTTAATCGACATAGTTCATTGCATCATAGATCTCTGGTTTGATTGTGTGTTGAACTGATATTTCTCATTTGATAATGGAATAATTTTAAGTTACATGTACTTACTATCATATTAAAAATACTGCAGTCTTTGCATTGAATGCAAAGTAACGTATATTAAACTATAATCTGTTAGTTCATATTGATTTTGAGACCATAACGTATAAATATTTCCGGGAACTGAAAGATAGTTCGATAGTAATTACTTAAATTGAAATACATGTTATAACAGATCAACTTTTATCAACCATCTATAGCGTTTACAAACAGTTGATTTGTAACACTAATTGTTAATGAAAAGGATCACTGAATGTCATTCAGCATGCCAATAAATATATTATACAATTATAGCCTTTGTATGAGGTCGATACAAGGATATATTGACCTGAAAGAAGTATATTGACTGAGGACGAAGTCCGAGGTCGATATACTTCTTTGGGTCGATATATCCTGTATTGACCTCATCAATAGGCTATAATTGTTTTTTTGATTTTGATTTTTTGATTTTGTTGGAATTTTATAGATATCATATTGTCTCCTAGACAATAACATATAAGTTGTTATTTCATTTACTTTTTTACATCTTATGTATGTGAAGATTTTTTTTCTTCAAATCATCGATCATAGATATTTTTTTTATAAACTTTTAACAATATCATGAAATTCATTACATGACGTCACAAAGTATATTGGTTTTTAGATATTCTAAAAATAACCGTGCAATATGCTTTTTTGCTATCCGCCGTTTTCTCTCTACCTTCGAAAATATAGTTTAACATGTGACTATCTCTGAACGAATCAAATTAGTTAAAAAATACGAATTAATAATATAGTACAATATCTTACAATGAAATATTAGATATGTGTACAAAATTATGAAAAAATTGAAGAATGTTAGCAAACTCAGCTAAAGCGTTTCGTTTAACAACACTTATGAGTTAATGCTATGCAATTTATAATGATAAAAGAGAAGCGAAAGACCTGCAAAAGATGGTATATTCACACTCAGAATTCAAAAAAACAAACTGACAATGCCATGACAATAACCTTCAAACGACGTAAAGACCAATTACTGTACACAAAACCTGCCAAACGTAATAAAGACTGATCAGAAACTACTAACTTTAGAAATGTGTACATATACTGTACAAAAAAAGAAATATACAGAATGTTTTAGTTTTTGACAAATTTTAAATGTTATTCCGAGTACTTCAAAGCGATATTTTACAACGACCCCAATGTTTTCGTAAACTGAGAAACAATTTCACACACCGCGATTTTTATACGCAATCCCACAGTAGTATAACTTAATTAATTAAATATAACTTTGAAATTAAATTGAAAATTCTGGAAAGGATTTGAAACTATGGATACTTTAGTGGATTTTTTAAAACAAAAGTTCAAGTTAATTATATGAGTTCTTGGTGTCTATTTTGCTAGAGTTGTTATTGTAAAAGTTCCGTTTACATCGAAAATGTAAAGATCTGTCACCTAGCACGTACGGTCTTGTTTGATCGTTCCCTCTAACGATATAATTTATTATAAATCATAACATGATATTCTTTTATAAGCATGAACCTTGAATAAGGAATGCGACAAAGAACGAACCAGCTCTTTTTGTTAATGATAAATAGACTTTAGCAGATGTAAAATTAGATTTAAAAAGATCCATTTCACACTTGCCGGTGCATGTTATTACCCTTATAAGAATGGTAGGTACTTTCTTAACCATTTTGTCAAACAACAATCAATTCTTTTGAATTAATAGAATGCATTGGTCCTTTTAGTTTTTTTATGTTAAAATTTTAAAAACATGAATGATTATTCAATAACTAAATATATAGGTAATGATCTTCTAAAAGAGGATTTAAAAAAATACAAAATTCCGACACAAGCTATTCGGCAACTCGCCAATTGTATTTTTAAAGACATGAAAAAAAGTTAGGAGTTATCATGCTTATAAACTGTTTTCATTTTCCATGTAAACGACTAGTAGATGTACAGATTTGATCATTATTTTATTTGAGACTTCCTTTCACATATAACCTATCAGAGTCGTTGTCAGTTGCATGTGTAGACAGTATTTAAAATTGTATCAACAATATAGACTTCACTACTGCATGTTAGTGACACACCTTCTCAAGACACAATTATAATATTATATTCTTTAACCCTTTGTTCTTCGTCGAAGAAATTCTGTAATTTTAGAGCTCGCATTGTATAGATTTATTATATAATTAGAATATATTTGATAAGGTAAGAAATAAATCCAAAGTTCATTTTTTCATTGAATAAACCTACGCCTCACCTCCTGAAATACAAGAAAGCTAGTGTAAAATAAATGAATAAAATTTTCTTTACATCAATTATGTGAATTAATTGATTTCAATTTATATAAAATTTTTTTTAGAATAAAGCAAATTGTCTTTGATTTACATCAAAGGTTAGCAAAACTCTGATTTAAAAGTTATTAAGAATAGTTTTAAATGTCTATGGAAAATACAAATAATGTTACAAAAATCATTGCCAGTGTAGTACCTGTCTACACTAGACTTGCTAATACAACATGAAATTCTTCATGCTACTAAACTCATGGACGGTTCCATCAAAATGGCAACATTTTACTATTCTTGTATGGAAAACATAGAATATAATATACGTAACCCATGATTATAATATGATTGCAATAGGAAATACATGTTTATTAAGAATAATTCATCCCTGAGAAAGACTAAACATTGAAATACTATAGTTTAAGTTTAAATTGAAGAATATATTTTGACTTATTTCAATAACGTTACTGTCAAAAACATTTAGATAATAAAAATCTACATTTGTGAAATCAAGGGGTTGGCTTATGTATATAAATACATGTACAGTCATCCCCGTTCCAGTTGTAAAAATCTTACTACAGTTTATAGAAATATCGGATTGCGCGAGATTTGGTGGTAGAATATGTTTCCTTAATGATTGTACACGATATGGCATGGTCGCCTTTTTCATGACGTACAGCAAGAATATTTGACGCCATAATTGAATTTTGGTAAAGAAAGAACTGAGATCAAATGAAGTCCACGTTGACTATAACAAAAATATTAACCGGTCGGGAAAAGTATAAATCGGGTAAGAATTATGAAAAAAATGGATACCCTTTACCGGTTTTGTTTTCATTGAGATTATTTTTACTATGACTTTCTCAATAATGTTATAAGATGTAGCAATTTGGGTTGCTTGCAAATCTAAAAGATTTTTATCAGTCATACTACTATAATACTTATTAAAATTATTTAAAATTATTTTTTCTTTGAATGTTCAATGAAAACAAAGAAAAGATCACCAAAAAAAAAAGAGTTTTTGTCTTATTACTTTATTTATTGCCTACAAATCGATTTGAATAACTGATATAGCTTAATTTTCAAAATTTATGTCTGCAAAATTTGTTTTGGTACAAGTAATGCTTGCATACAAACATAAGTAGCTCCTACTGTTGAGAAACAAGGTCAATTGACATATTTAAACTGATCCTGAGTGCACTGCTATAACTCTTAGATAGTTTCCTTACGGAACCAAGAGATATTTTAGCTTAAACTCATAGGTAATTGATTTAGATAACACTTTCATCGTTTCACATAATATACAATTTAGAACAAAATAATCTTAAATACTTTTAATAGTAATCATGCTTATCAAACATGTCGATTGTATGACTATGCATGCAATATTCAATTCTTAGTTTTCTGCAGGAGGTATTAATATAGCATATTTTTGATTGCGTAATATTGACAATTCACAAAAGTGTTTAGTTACGATTATATTAATATGCTAATATTTTTATGCCATGGTAAAGTTAAAACAAATATATTCTAACATACCATAATTTACAACCTTAAAGGGACAATATGTACCAGTTTTGAAATCGTTACAACAGTGGCTCTTTGCAGGTATTTCTAAACGTTATCGCTTTGATTTAATTATGTCAAAGTTGATCTAATGATATAAAAATATGCCGATAACATAATAAAACCTGTTTCACATACTAAGGATATGTTATTATTCGTTGGGTCCCAATTGTGTTGATTTTGTACGGACATTTTAACTTTTAATTGGAGATTTCGTTTTTTGTCTGTTATAACGTTAAGTTAATACACAAATGTTTGTGATTTTCAGATAGTTTTTGAACATTAAAGTATACAGCACATGCATGTACCAATTTTATAATAATAGTTTATATAAATCCTACCTTTGATGTAAATATTTTGTGGTATTTTGATGTGCTCAATTTCTAATCATTAGTATATGTGTCTAAATCTTCATTATAGAAAATGCTGGTGTGAAACTGCGTTAGAAAAAGAATTATATGTTAGTTTTTCATGATAAAATCGCATAAATGTAAATTATTTAAGGAATGACTATTATATTTTTTTTTGTCTTTGAAGAAATAACATCAAAAATATGATGCACACTGAATAACCCGCGTTTTTGACAAATATTACAGTCATTCCTTCACAATTTAATTCTAAATTGCATTTTAAGGAGTAAATCATGAAAAAAACGTCGATGACGTCACGGTCACATGTACTCTATTCTACTTCGTCCACACAGCACTAGTAATATAACAAGCCCTACAGTAAATATAAAAATAATAAATTGTGGTATGATTGCAGCCTGTAAGTTTAAACTTGAAATGTCACATTGTTTTGTTTTTGTCTTTTATGAACTAATTTTGTGTTTTTGTTGCAACAATGTATTGACGTTTATTAACCACAGACGCATTTTGTTTAGTTTTAAAACGATTTTGTCATCGTATCAATGATGGAAGAAAAACCTGATGGAAAAAGAAAAACTCGACCACGCATAAGTAACCTTGCGGTTTTAGACCGGATTAAAACAGAGTAAGTTTTAATACTTTTTAAGGTTAATTCAGCATAATGTTACAGCAAACATGACAGGCTTATAAAAACTGTTCATAATAAGATAATCTTTTGTATCTGTTTTGTTGTCAATAACTAATAGGTGTTATCCTTATAATAGCTCAATCGAGTTGTTTAACTGACATCAAACATGACAGGAATTTATAAACATTTATATATAAAAACAATGATACAAAGGGTACATTGATTGATTGAAAAGCACACAATCAATTAAAGGGTTCGAACTTACAACATCAGTGTTATTTGGCTAGTGATACATTCGATGAACTACGTAGACAATCCGGCCACCGATGGCCCTACAAAAGGTAATATAATATATATTCATAAATAAAATTTGACAATTTTCATTATGAAAAACAGCTAATTATTTTATATCAAATATTCATGGAGATTTTATGAACAACTTCGGTGTCGGTTGTCCAAAACTCTTGATATAAGAAGAATATATACTAGTCAACAAAAGAAACGATACAAGGCAATGTATTTTCCATATATAATGAAATTGGATACACTGTACCAAGGTAAATAATTGCGTAATTGATCTAATATTTACAGAATGATTTTTTCTTATCAAAACCATTGATTTAAGGCAAATACGCGATTTTTTTTGGGGGTATTTTTGTTATTTAAAAAATCGTATTTTCACCCAAAAATTCAAAAATCGATATTAGAACTTAAAACTTTAAACTTAAACGTGGTCTGCTTAAAATTTTGATTGCCTTTGCAGATATTTGAATACTTACTTATTCTCATCTTCGAAATTAGGTGTCGACTTTTGTCATCATTTTCCGCAAAATAAATTTGACCCCTGTGTTCAATAACATTGTATTTTCTAACTTTCCAATTTGGTCAGATTCTTTTAATCATATGCATTTGCTTTACAAATGAATGTTTTTCATTGGATAATTTAACAGTTTTCCCTATTTATCATATTTTATGATAAATTGGAGTTCAAACTTGTGTATCGTTTCTTTTGTTGACTAGTATATGTCAATAATTCACGATGCCATGTTCACACTATCATAATTATATGTTCACTGAATCGTGAAATTATGGTCAAAACCGTTATTTGGCATATAATGTGAAAAGTGCACACCACAAGGATTTTATGTACTAAGGTTGTAAATGTTGATGTGACAGCAACTTCATGGTGAACTACCTGGCCAAAAAACGTTTACTTGAACATTAAACAGTTTCACACCAGCATTTTCTATAATAAGTTAACCGAGCAATCGGACGACAACCGTTACCAGGGATTAAAATTAAAAGTTTATATCATCATACAGATGTGTTCTAAGTTTAGATTGATTTGACCTCTTAAGCTTACTTCTAGTAAACTATATTAATTATCAAACTTAAGCTGAGATGGAAGGGACGAATAGAATGACAGACGGACGGAATATTGAAGAAACACACAGGCAAGAAAACATTATGCGTTCTAACGGCTAGAGAGGCATAAGATAATATCAATAGAGAAATTAAAAGTTGACTTTGGAGTTGGATTTTCTAAGAATTTTTTTCCGCTGTTTATTGACCTAGTATATGGTATCAAGATATGACCACAGATTTTCAAACGAAAACGTACGAGTTCCTTACTTCATACACGCAAATCAACATTCGAAGGGGTTGAAGATCTACTTTACATCTTTAATTAAATCATCACTTATTATTTGTGTATACATGTAATTACAGAAATGGTGAAAATAGCACGAATAAGGAGGACTACAAAGAATATGATGTGAAAGAATCTTTGTGCCCACGACCAGAAAGGATTTTAAAAATTGGCTTTGCAATTTTTCTTTGTATTGTTGCATTTGGAAGTGGATTTATTGGAAGGATGACATTGCATATATTGATATGGCACATCAGTCCTCCAGTAGAATCCACTATATCGGCTATAAACACTCTCGGAGGTCTTCTTGAGCCTAACTGTTCAATATGCACCAACGAAACAGCATGCATGAGAAATACCAATTCTACAGCAGTTGACGAATCATGGATATGGGCATTGTTCTTGGTTATAATTGCGCCATATTGCTTGACATTTATATCAACATCATTTAGAATCTTCTTCAAATCCAATAAAGCATTAAATTCGAAAGTACTCTTAGTAGTAAGTTTAACTAGTGATTCTATAAACTCATAAAACATTGATATTTCATATGGTATATTTACAATGGCACATCTAATTGTTTTTCATTGACAAAAAAAAAGAGACAGACGATGCTAAAAAGACAATAAAATTATAAGTGGAAGAAAAACCAACAATACAATGGAAAAAAAAGAAATGACAAAACGACAAACATCTGTCAACATAACACTACATTGAAGACTAAAGACTGAATCCCACAAAAAACGAGGGTGATCTCTAGTGCTCTGGAAGGTTTTGTACTTGCGACACAGCGTCCTATTAATAAGTTACAACATTCTTTTAAAAAATCATGATATAAAACGTAAACTCTAGAAACTCGTATCACCTGGTGAATAAATAAACTCAATATGCAAACGCTACAAGAATGTTGCTACATAGAAACGAAAAGCTCACACAAGCAATACTTAAAGAATCTCTTTAGAAAGTGTGTTATTTAAAGGCGTTGTTCAGGCGAGTTAACTACAGGAAAAACCTTCTAGATGTGTTCATGACTTTTGATTTTGTTATTCATATCATGTGTTCTCATGTTTAGTATAAAAATAAGGAGATGTGGCATGATTGCCAACGAGACACCTACTCATCAAAGTTCAAATAAAGTGGATATATGCAATTATAGGCAATTGTACAGCCTACGTGAGAAAACCCAGACCGTATAGTCAGCTATAAAAGGCCCCGACATGAAAAATATGAAATAATTTAATTGCGAAAACTAACGGCCTAATTTATTACAAAACAATTTACGAAAAACAAATATGACAGACGTCAACCAATGACAACCATTTTTAAAATTATAATCACAAACATCTGCTTGAAATTGATAAATGTGGTGAAAAAGTAAAAATATACCTAGGGTCGATTGAAAGTCAGTCATCAAAAGATAAAAAAACGTGACTTTCAGAAAAAAATCAATCAAAAGGTGACAAACAACAAATTAAATAGAAGCAAATATAAAAAGACGAACACTAGTCTACAAATCATTAACTAAAATACCCAATAAAAATTGGCTGATCAGCAGTATTCTCCAAGAGAAACATTAAGCAACAGTAGTGGCATATATCGTGTCAAAAGTAGTAATAAAGTAATATCATAAACGAGTTAAAAGTGACATTAAAATAACTACAGTTAATGTACTATATTTGTGGCATGTCGAAATATCTATTGATCAAATTCAAATACTGTGGATTTATTTATTTTCGTGGATAACAATTTTCGTTTGATTGAGGAAGTCTTGCGTTTTCGAAGTTTCTCTCCTCGTGCTATATCATAAACACGTGTTTACTTCTCTTTGCTGAACACCAGTTTTCCATATTAACCTGAGTATTATGAAGGTAAAAGTAATGATTTGTTAAAAAACATTACTGAAACTGAGAGAGCACTTAATCATATCACATCTTGTTATTTTTATAATAAACTACTTGAAAATTTTAAATGATCACATAATTAGAGCTTTTAAAAAAAGACGATCGCCATATCTATGAAATCCAGTTGTGATCCGAATCTAGCCGACTTGAAAATATATTCGAAATAAGCAGACTTCATAGAGGAGATTCTAAAAAGGATGATACACATTTTTGGGACTATATGCTATTTTTGTATCTCATTTGACTGGAAAGGATTACACAGATACAGTTACATCTTTACATAGACAATAAGGGTCATTGAAAACTCAATTCCAACACAAAAGAATATGTTATTCCAGACCTGAAGTGTAAAATTTATACCAATAGTTCTCAATAGCAAAGCTTGAGTTATCAAATGTTCTGCGGCTGTCATAATGTGTCATAGATTACAAAAACATGCTCCAGTTTCAAGAATAACAATCATGTTTTTTTTATTCCTGATTGTGACAACCGATGGAACTTAACACCGGATTGTAACTTTCCATAAACAACTTTGCGAGTGCTGCTAGAGGAGCAAAAAATAACTGCTTTCCATTTAGGGTTTTGGCTGGATTCGTTTCTTCAATTTTTTTTCCCGTAAAGTGTTTTAGACTGTTTGGATGAACTCAGCAAATCTACCAAGCTAAACGTTGAGTACGCGCGTTTCGTCTACAAAATACTCATCAGTGACGATCGAATGATAAAAGTTAAAATGGTCAATTTAAGTTCAAAGTTGAAGAGCATTGAGGACCTAAAGTGGATCATTCTGTTATTTTCTTTCAGTGCTTTTGTTTGTTTTTCTCCGAACGACGAAGTTAACATGTCAAGTGTTTTGTATCTTCTGTTTGCATATCGTTATTTGGTGAAGGAATTGGCAGCCAACATATCGTTATTTGGTGAAGGAATTGGCAGCCAACATAATATCGTTATTTGGTGAAGGAATTGGCAGCCAACATATCGTTATTTGGTGAAGGAATCGGCAGCCAACATATCGTTATTTTGTGAAGGACTTGGCAGCCAACATATCTTATTTGGTGAAGGAATTGGCTGCCAACATATCGTTATTTGATGAAGGAATTGGCAGCCAACATATGGTTATTGTAATAAGTTTCTAAATTTAAATTGTTGATTTAGATCATTATTGACTTTACTCATTATTGAATTTAATAACCGAAAAAGTACGACAGAATTGACAGACAATGCACCAGAAAAATATTATCCATATCTTATTGTGATCCCTTTGATTTTGAGAAATCTTGTTTTTCCAAAAAAATCGTTTTTTGTTCTGTGAACACGCATTGGATTTTCATTTTGCCTTTTTTATTTCCACTTTTTGCCATTATCAAATGTGGATTTAAATTTTGAATTTCTGCTCTTGTCTGTTGACAAAGATATTATCGAGCAAATAAGAATGTATCTGAAATTAAGCTAATGCAGCTTATTGTTCACATTTCATAACGACCCCCTGCGATAAGATGACTCCTAACCAGTTTGCTCCCTAGCTCAGTAATGACAATTGTTTTTCATTTCAGCTGATTCTAATTGAAACACTTCATTCAGTCGGACTCTCCATATTAGGATTTATTGTGTTGCCTGCACTTGATCCAGCTTCTGCATCAGTGGTTTATTTAGCAGCTGGTGTTGGCCTACCTATGATAGATTTTTTTGATAAGGTTGTCAATAAGCTTGATAGAAAATCTTCCGAAATAACGAAAAAACAAAATGATATTAAACCAGACACGGAAACAAAAAATCAACAGCCAACAAATGGAACGGATCTTGAAAAACAGAATCAAAAGTCAACAAATGGAATGGAAACGGAAATACAGAATAAAAAATCCCCAGTTGAAACGAAAACTGAATCACAGAATCAAAAGTCAACAAATGGGACAGACAATCAACAGAATACAATTGAAAGTGAAACTAAGAATCCGCAGAATACCAATGTCAACGATACCTCAAATGATCATATCAACGACGTTGATTCACGGAAAATTACGGCCGAAAAAGCCGTAGAATCTACTTGTAAATTTTCATTTTGCGATGAGACATCAACTCTCTCCTTTACGTTACCATTTGTAGGATTCGCATTGCAGATTGCAGGAATCATTCTAATAACACTTTATATTAAAATTGGTTCAATGAATGTTTTATTTGTGTTGTCCGTTATTCTAATATCAATAAAGTATTGGGAAAACTTCATTACTATGGGGACAGAAAGTTCGATTTTTTTACGCCAATTAAAGCGAGAACTACATATTGGAAGAACTAAGACCTCGTGTTTAGTCAGTCTCTGGAAAATGCTTGTAACGTTTCTTGCAGTTATAGCGATTTTTACTAGTCGTGGTACTGATTCAATGGGCGCCCTGAAAGCAATATTCAATAATGGAATAACAACAATTAATACCGTCTTTGGAGAACAACGAGTAGGATATAATCCGATTTGTCAAACACAAGTGCCATTTTTAGCAACTATTATTTGTATAACTTGTGAATACTTATGTTATAAGACCTCTAAAACAGTATGCGTAATCAATTGTCAGCGATTTGGTTTCAGTTTTCCTCTGGTTATGTTACAAATTGCCGTACCTTTTGTAATAGGAGGCTTGATGCATCATCCTGATATTATGAAATTAGATTCATGTGATCTACTGTTCTCTGACTGGTGTATCAAGGAAAATGGTCGTTTAGTTGAAAATTGCATGGAACTAATTATAGCATTCGTTGTACTGTACATATCAATTCTTTTGATAACAAGGCATGCTTGGCAATCAAATGGGCGAAAAAATGGAGAAACCGCAAGGTAAATAACTATACTGAACTGTTGCATTTTAAACCTGTAAGCCGTTATTTCAACTACTAATCATACTTATATTATTTTGAAATCAGTATGTCCAGTTTATAAATCGATCTCTGGTGGACCTCATAGTTAATCTCTCAGTAGGCTTTGATATTACATACAAGGAATTATGTTCAAGTATTTCTGCCAATTAAATTTTAATAAATGCACGCCATCTCCAGCCAGATTTCAAATACAAAAATGCTATTTCGGACGAAGGAACGTCAACAAGGACATTTTCCCCTTTTGGGCTGACCTTTACTTGAACCCTTCCAAAAAAAGAGATTTGGTGATAATAACATATATTTGAATGTGATTATTTATTTCGTTTGTAGTCTTTTTAAAATCTTTGCAAATAGAATAGTATAGTAATGTATAGTTTGACATTCCTCATAACGCTAGTTTGTTATCGATAAAGATCGTACTTCATCTCTATACAAATGCCCATTAATTGTTTTGTAATGTTGTCTGTTTGATGTCGCATTGACGTTAACCTCATATCTCGACTTAGTTTATGTTATGCATCATAAAGCTTTCATTATTGTACGGTTTTGGTCCATTTATGAGCTAACCGTCTTACACTAAGATTAAACATCTTGCAAGGGGAGTTGAATTTAAAAATAAACTGTAATTGAGTTTGGGGAATTGATTCCCAAATACGTCTTTATTATATGATTTCCATTTTTTTCTCTCGAGCATAATTGAAGAAATTGTATATAACACATCATACATCTGGTAAGTACGAAGCGTTTACCTGTATCAACCTTTATAGATATAAGAAGATGTGGTATGAGTGCCAATGAGACAACTCTCCATCCAAGTCATAATTTGTAAAAGAAACATTATAGGTCAAAGTTCATCACGAATGCTCAAACAAATTGAGTCATGGATGTATAGCTGCTTAAATACATGAAAAGCTAAAAGACAATCAAGAAAACAGGTCTTAAGCAATGATTTATGTATCGCGATCACACGTTTGTGCATACTTGCGTCTACGATGAGTGTGAATGTGCGTGTATGTGCTATGGTTTGTGTGAATGTGCGTGTGTGTGCTATGGTCCGTGTGAATGCGTGTTTTTATTCGAATGTGCGTATGCTTCTGTGAAAATCAATTATTCTATGGTTAGCAATGGCTGGAAACAAATCTTTATTCTTGTAATTAAGACTCCTTTGTTTGCCTTAATATCGTATTTCAAAGCGTTCATGATTTTCGGACAATATGTATCTCAAAACGGTTTTGTCTATTAGTACATGTAGTAGCAAATATAAGCTAATTTATTCTTTTGTTAGGATATTTATTTCACCTTTTTACTGTGGACTGTTTCCTGAATTATCTTTGTTACTGAATCGCAGAAGAGATGATGACGAATATGACATTGTTCATTGTAATAAGGTACGTCATAATTTGACTTCACCTTTGTTTTCTAGTAGACAGTCATTGAAAGATGTACAAATATAAAATGTATCAGTTTTAATTAAGTGTTTTGAATAAAAATCTTGTTATCTCCTATTTGTAGTATTTAACGTTAAGAATTAGTAAAAAGTTAGATTGAGTTAAATAACAGCAAACATGTCATGTCTTATTGATATCTATGAGACCATCATACTTATTCTTATGGCTATGATTGTCTGTTCTTACCTTTATATGTGTGTTTTTACCTCATTAGTTGATTACTGTGATATAATGTTATGACATTATCCGTGTCACAATTCACATTGAACTGAAGTTGGTACAGATTTGTGTGGATCCTGACTAGGCCTTTATTAGAAATAGGCAATAAACGGTATCACAAAATCTGTTTTCACAATATATATCTATTAGAGCTTTGGTTTGTATATTTTGTGTGCTTTTTAATAACACCAGTATTATATACATGACAAAATTCAAGTTTTTCTCAAAGTTCTTGTACTTATCGAAATCTTTACAAATAATCATTTGACTGGCAGATACAAACTATGACTAAGAGTGTGAAAATTAAAAGGATAACGAATGTTTTTGAATACATGGCAAAAATATTAATTAAATGAGGGACAAGATATATGCAATCATCGAATCAGTTGGTTGTAGCAAGCATGTACTATGGAGCCACGAAATTGATCACTTAACTGAAATAACCTACTATTACAAGAAGTTAAAAAAAAGGGAATATCCTTATTGCTAACTGATATCATATCGTTTTAAAGTATGAGATATTACTCAAAGCATTCAATTTTCAGTTTATATTGTATAACTTATACAAATAAGAAGATATGGGATGATTGCAATTGAAATAACTCTCTACCAGAGACCAAATGAAATAGAAGTTAACAACTATAGGTCACTGTTATTTCATTTAAGTGCTTTTGCCATTGAATGCATGGGACGTTCAATTTTCAACATATTGATTTCTCTTAAATACTTTAATTTATCCTTATTATAGAAACCAGACGAAAAGCAAAATAAGAGAAAAAAGTTATATGCCTGCTGTGCTACCATGTGGCACGAAACTGGAACTGAGATGAAGCAGCTTTTAACATCCATATTAAGGTAAAGTCTACATTGACTCTAAGCAATAATTTAGAATAAAAGTACAATAGCAATAACTTTTCTGATACAAAAAAAAAGGAAAATCACAAAAATACTGAACTCCGAGGAAAATTCAAAAAGGAAAGTCCCCAATCAAAAGGCAAAATCAAAAGTTCAAACAAATCAAACGAAAGGATAACAACTGTCATAATCCTAACTTGGTACAGGCATTTTCTTATGTAGAAAATGGTGGATTGAACCTGGTTTTATAGCTAGCTAAACCTTTCGCTTGTATGACAGTCGCATCAAGTTAAATTATATTGACAACGTTGCGTGAACAAAACAAACAGACACAATAGGTGAAAATGTCAAAAATAGGGGTACAGCAGTCACTATAGTGTTATCATCTTAATCACTATAAAAAAAAACAAATGTAATGAAGAAGCACAAAAAGGCATACATCAAATTTAACATCCTCATTTTGCTTATATTATACGATTTTATTTATCTATGTAAAATCCACCCATAAAGGATGAAAGGTTTTAAGTACTGACGTAAAATAGATATCACAAAAAAACAGACTTAACAGTAAAAGTAATATTAATAAATAAAATAATTGTGTGGTTCAAAATATGACGGGATACATAAGTGCATAGTCTATACTTCAAGACCATCGTGTATTATTTGTGAAGTTGATACGGAATATTTGTCAACAAGTTCATGGTACCTTCCGATGAACTTTTTTAGAAAAAGGACGAGACGTTCTTTGACATACCCCTGGTTCATCAACTTTCTGCTCAAACACTGGTGACGTTTTACAAAGTCTGAGTAGGAGCTGAAAGCTCTTGAATACCGAATAAGTTGGGAAATGTATATCCCATATGCAGGTGAAGTTGGTATATTGCTACTTAGGTGGGGGAAATTGATTACTTCAAAATTAAAATAGTCTCGTTTGTCATAGATTCTGGTACTGAGATGACTGTGTATGTCAAATTCGAGGTATAAGTCTAAAAATTAGGCAGAGGAAGCCGTGTCTGTTGTTTCTTTAATTTCTAGTTCTGGTGGATATATTAATGGAACCCAATCAGAAAAGTTCGGATTGTTAAAGGAAAGAACATCATCAATATATCTGAAAATGAAATTAAATAACCTGGCTTCTTTGATCTACTTGTTTTTGACAAGTGTCTGAAGGAACTCCGATTTATATGAAAATAAGAAGAGGTCGGCAAGGAGAGGCGCACAGTTCGTTCCCATAGGAATGCCGACAATTTGTTGAAAAGTCTACCTCCAAAGTCAACAAATATGTTGTCAATAAGAAACTCCAGCATACTGATCACTTGTTCCTCTGTGTAGCATGTTTTACCCTTTTGTTCACTATTAACAAACTATGCCTTATGGTATCCGAAAGTAATACATTTATAGCGTATGCTACCATTTTTATGATGATTAGCATTGTTGATTATTTCTTTTAGACGGTTTTTCAATTTCACATGGGGAATGGTGGTATACAAGGTTGAAAAATCAAAAGTTTTGATAGAACTAATTTGAGAAAAAGACCGAGATTTAAAATTATCCAGAAGTTTTTTTTAAAGTTTTTAAGAATCCACATATGGTTAATACCACTACGCGATTTAACAGTTTCACAGTATTTCTGAAGACCCTCTTTCACTGCGGACAGAATTTTAGTCAATCTAATGGACAATTCTTTAGTGGAACATGCAGATGAGCCGGCAATGTACCGTTTTATGTACGGAATTTTGTGAAGTTTAGGTATCCAATACAAACAAGGTAAGTCCTCCGATTTGTTGTTCAATGCTGTATGTGGGATTACCTGAGTGCTCATTTATTCCTTATTCTTTAACAAGACACTCGTATAAAGGCAACAGTAGTATACCGCTGTTCAAAAGTCATAAATCGATTGAGACAAAAACAAATCCAGGTTACAAACTAAAACCTGCTTCGAGTTATTTTCTTTCAGAACGATAGGTCTTTCTTTTGAAGAATCAACCCGGACAGTACCAAGTTTCAATAAAATTTGCGTCAAGGCATAAAATAATGACCTGTTGAGGGTAATCATTTTTCTTATTAAAATGCAAACTTTAATTTACTTAAACATTTAATTCGTTTGATAGTTATCATGTGTTGTTAAGAATTTGGGTTTTACTTTTTACTTATCCATCTTTGGTAGGTTTAAAGCAGAAACAATCCTTTCCTCTGTTTATTGGACTGAAATACCAAAAATCGTCGTTGACGCACATTATAATTTTCGAAACAAATAAATGTGAAGTTTTGTTAATTTGTAGCTACAATAATGGGACATTATGTGAGATTAATTAAATAATGCAAAACTTTTCAAAATACTTTAAAACTAGTCAAATTTAACACATTCGTGTGTAGAATTAAGAAAATCTAATGGATTCACACTTTATTGGGTATGATATTTAATCCTGATTCTGAGTTTAAAAAAAAGTTTTATTGCCAGACAAAAGAGAGAAACGAATTATTCTGAATAGTTCGTCTAAAAAATTGTTGAAAAAATAATCTGCTTTTCCGCGATTAAAATGTAACAAAAAAAAAAAGAAAAAAAAAAAAAAAAAACATAGCACACCCCTTTCACAGATAAAGTTGATAAAATAAATTACTTACAAAGTGACCTGTATTTTAAAATGCCTGTACCAAGTCAGGAATATGACAGTTGTTATCCATTCGTTTGATGTGTTTGAGCTTTTGATTTTGCCATTTGATTAGGGACTTTCCTTTTTGAGTTTTCCTCGGAGTTCAGTATTTTTGGGATTTTACTTTTTTCATGCACCGTAACAATTCATTTGTGTCTTGCTTCATGCAGTAACAGTAATATTGTTATTGTAACTGGACAATGATTTCCAAAGTTTATATCTAGATTAATTAGTGAGTTTTATTTCACATTATAAATGAGCCGTAGGGCATATTAAAACCTGAACGACTCAGAAAAGAATATCCCACTTTAGTGTGGTCGGTAGAATAGGATGGAAATACTGCAAATCTTTGCTTTGCAGAAAGTAATATTTTTGACAGTATATAAGTCAGATAATGCACATTTTAAGGTTATTTTTGTCGTATAATACACCTCCGGGTGTCAGGATTGCCCAAAGAAAGACCTCCCTACAATCGATCTTCACTTTGGTCAATCCTGACACTCCTCGGTGTGTTACACGACAAAAAAAACCTTAAATTATGCATTATCTATAACATATACATTTGTTCAAAGAGCGCCGCCAAAGAATCTTAATGAACAACACATAACATTGTTTTGGATGAGCGTAAAAATTTCGATAAGAAGAAATAAAGCTAGCCCTTTGTTTCATATTTTTAACTGTTTAAACGTTGTCATTTCGGTAATTGGAATAGCGTTACGTATACGTTTGAAATAGTTATACTATTATAACTGAATCGCGACCCTTTGTGGATATTGATTTTAATGGTTAGCAGCAACAAAACTTATTCGTGTCTTGAAAGCACATTTTGAAATTTAAACGATTTTACTGGTTTTTTTTTAGGTTAGACAGAAAGCAATGTATAAACAAATTTCTAAAAGAAGAAATTAAAGAAGACGTCGAAACATTTGATTTAGAAGGTAACTTTTATTTTAATCGAGGGAAACTTTATTAATTGAGTCCCAAGAGAAAATTAAAATTATTTCAATCCTTATTTGCTATTTCATTGTTATTTGTTTGAATGTGTTGTATATAATTCTAAATTTATGTCTACAAATCTACAAATATGATACAAGTGTATTGGTCGAAAGTAAAATATCATATTTAAATTATGAACGCTTCAGTATTATTAAGAAAATTTGGCAACTGGAAACCGTATACGTATGTATTATGCACACCAACATTTCGACTGATTTGAGGTGTTAATTGGAATATATGTTATAGGGCTGTTAACGGTCGATGGACCGAAAAACCCTTGCAATTACTGTGATGTAGATTTCCTTGTGTTTGTACTGCTCGTATGAAGTCGCAGCCACTTCATTCAGCTAGGGTAATTAATCTAAATTACACGTGAGAGTTTTTCTAGAAATTAATTCAATTGAATTCCAGAACAGCGCTTGGGACACACGATAAATTATAAAGTGTCTATTTCATTTATTAAAGAATAACTTATTACAAAAACAAAAGATGTGATTGATTACACTAAGTTACCAATACCTTCGACAATTCAAAGTATATAACACTTTTCAAGCATATGTATTCATTGGTAATCTTCTTGTCAATTTTCAGCTCATGTTTTCTTCGATGATGCTTTCAAACCCGAAAAGGACAACAAGAAAGAAGTGAATATATATGTAAAAACCTTTATAAATGTATTAAGTGAAGCTAGCAGGTAGGTAAAACATAATGAAATAACATATGCCAGTACATTAGCGATGTGTTAAAATATTGCAACAACTACTTCATTTTTTGTATAAAAGTTTTTTAAAAGTTTGTATTGATAACAGAAGAAAACGCAATTAACAAAGGCGTAACCTATCAATGTGTATCTGAACTAATACATGTAACTTATTATTTGAAAAAGATTCAATTTCATTTTTCAGATTATAAATTTTGTCTTATCTTCAAATCAAGATTACTATATTTTCATATAGTGTACCGCACAGCAGACTAGCATCTACATGTATGATGTTCGTTTTAAATCAAATTTGTTCCTTAACTTAACTGTAAACTTTATCGCTACGATTCATAAAACCATTAGGATAATTTTTTTCGGCAATTACTAATAGATAGTCAAACGACATATTTATAAACGCAATATATATAAATTCAACTACTGCATCTAGAAGGATACGATATTTCTACATTCGAGCGATTCAAATATTTCAAATTTAAATGTGGAGAGTAGATAAATATTGTATTGCACGAATGCCAACTTATGTTTTAGACAATATGCAGACACATTTAATCCTTCTTTTCTAATGATCTACAAAAATATATGTTCTTTCTATATGACGTCATTAGGCATCATCGCCTCTTTTCATGACGTAACAAAAGGAAATTGAGAGAGAAAAGCAAGAAATTTGGACGTCATAATTGAATTTTGACCAATGAATAACTGAGATCAAACTAACCACACGTTCATTAAAAAGAATAATCAACAGGTCAGGAAAAGGATAACTTGGCTAAGAGTTAGCGAAACACATGAACGTGATACACATATTACATTAACTCAAATCAACTCATGAAATCCAACGCTAAAAATATTTATGACAGATTTCCTTCCGATATACTGACGCTTGGATTGCTCCTTCACATAGAGGGTAAATTTTTCATACAGATATGCGCGAGTATTTCCATTGACGTCTCAGACTGCAACAAACATAATATTTTCATTACGACAAAAACATGAAAAAGGGATATACATATAAAAGTTTATCCAAACATATTTAGTTTTTGTTTTGATATTCGGAGAGTTATTCTTAACATTCAAACAAAGCAGATCTTGTTTTTTTTACCTTCTGACTAGGAACATAACATACCGGTATAGTTTAATAAATATTAGAATCGCACTTTATAGAGTTTGAAGCACCTTTTCTTATTTTACCATTATTATCGGAACGCTCAAAACAAGGTAGGTTTTCTTGTACAAAATGAAAACAATACGTTTTGTAGCGTGTTTTTCCATACTTTTCAGACCTTTGTGTGGATTTACATCAATATCAAGCAATTTGTTTTTTGTAATAGCGGCGTTGACATCTCTGCAAGTAATCAAGTTATTACGCATCTAGGCTTAAATTGATGAGGATTAATCATGAAATTGAGTGGGGAACACATAAATAATTAAGTGTTTTTTTTTTTCATTTTTGTCGAGCCTGCTATTTTTGTCGCAAAAGCGAGACATAGCGATCCAACATTCCGTCGTCGTCGTCGTCGTCCGCGTCGTCAACAAGTATTCACACTGTGGTTAAAGTTTTTCAAATTTTAATACCTTTCTTAAACTATCCAGGATTTCTACCAAACTTGGACAGAAGGTTGTTTGAGATCATAAGATAGTATCCAGAAGTAAAGTTTGTAAAAAAAATCCTGTTTTTCCGTATTTTACTCATAAATGGACTTAGTTTTTCTTCCAGTTAACATTACATTCATTCTGTGGTTAAAGTTTTTCAAATTTTAACACCTTTCTTAAACTATCCTGGATTTGTACCAAACTTGGACAGAAGCTTGTTTATGATCAAAAGCTAGTATCTAGAAGGATATTTTGTAAAATAAAATTTCCTGTTTTTCCGTATATAAATGGACTTAGTTTTTCTGCCAGTTAACATTACATACAGTCTGCAGTTAAAGTTTTTAAAACATTCATTAGATTCATAAACCATCCTGGATTCTTACCAAACTTGAACAGAAGCTTCTTACATTCAAAAGATAGTATCTAAAGGAAAATTCTTAATAATTATTTCCCCATTTTTGTTGAGCCTGCGACTAACAGCAAAAGTAGGCGAGACACTGGGTTCCGCAGAACCCTTACAAATTTTTATTACATGTGTCTTTCAAATAAAAAGAGGAATATCTATTTATAAAATTGTTTTTTAATACAGCCGCGTGTATGACCAACAAATGGAACCATCAGAAGGTCTTATGTATAAAACCCCGTATGGTGCAAGGATTGAATGGATACTTCCAGGAGAAAACAAATTATTTGTTCATTTGAAGGATAATGAGAAAATACGAAATAAGAAACGCTGGAGTCAGGTACACGTACCTTCAATACAAATTATTAATTTAAGAAATGACTGTTTGCAGATGGCATGCACGACGTTACTAAATAACTTAAAATGCAAACTTGAGATGTGACAATGTTAAAGTCAAATAACAGAATGATATAAATTCAAATTCACTTGGCAGGTAAACTAGTCTTATTGATATTGTAATATTTTTGTAAAATGTGATAGAAAAAAATTCGTTTTAATATCATCCATAATTTGAAATCATACTTAAATCACTTTAATGACATCTGTTTAAATATTTCCCAGACATGAGGCAAAAATTAAGAGACAAGACAAAGATATCATTCAAAATAGGTAAACCAAAAGTTTACGTTTGTGATACAAATTTGATATAAAAAAAAAAAAAAAAAAAAAAAAATAAAAACACTTAACATGTATAATTGAACTGAGGCAACATTCATCGATCTGAACTTCATTTTACCATGACAGCTACTGTTCCCTCAGACAGAGCCCAATTATTATTTACGCCTAGATATGAACAGTTAGAGTCGGTTTACCAGTGATGAATGTCGTTCATTTGATCTTGCATATCTTAAGAAAATATATTTGAGTTCATATAATTTTCAAGAGCTCGCAACTCCTATCAGGATGTCCTTGTGTATTGTAGTTATTGTTATAATTAACCTTCATGATAAAAAAAAAAAGTAAAATCACAAAAATACTGAACTTCGAGGAAAACTAAAAAAGGAAAGTCCCTAGTCATGAAAATATGATAAGATTTAAAACACCTAATTCATAGCTCTACAGAAGCCATAAATACATGAATGATCGTAAAATTGTACATCTCTTATTTCGTTTCTCTATAATAGATTAAAAGAAATTCAGAATATCTGTCTATTAGACACCGATCATGCTCGACGAAAATAAAACTTGGTATATCAAAAAATGCGACCTCTCACGGGTTTTCGATAACAGTAGCAGAAACTTGTGGCGTAGAAACTCCTTTCCTAATTGTTTTTTGCTTGTAGTCATTTGGGAAACTTGATAATTAGTTGTATATGTACGTTAGACTATAGGAGGTTTTATTGGTTTTACTTCCCTTATATTATTTAAGCCATGCTGTTAGATGTCCTTCCTTGACTGATTCCGTTTTGCCCTTTTAGCAATTTGTACAACTTTTTGCCAGGAATTGTAACAACAGTTAAACATGCGAAACTGAAAAACATCTAGAAGGAATCATTTGTTTTTTTTTTTCTCAGATTGAAATAGAAAGTATTAAAGCGTATTAAAAAGATAACATTTCAAGATATACCCTCCAACTTGGAACGAATCATTTTAGCCAATTATTACTGGGAAAATATGATAAATGTTAAATATACTGCAAGTTATATTTATATTGTAAGTAATAATACCAGGACGATATACAATTTGTTTCAGGTGATGTATATGATGTACATTTTGAAATGGAAAATGCTGAAAGAGCATGGTAATGAAGGAATCCAAGAAGCAGCTGAAAATACATTCTTATTAGCTCTTGATGGCGATGTTGACTTCCAGCCAGACGCTGTACTTAGTTTAATGAGACGATTGGAAAAGAACGATAAAGTAGGGGCAGCATGTGGCAGAATTCACCCCATTGGAAAGGGTAAGTCTTTTTTATTATAAAATCTTCATTATAAAGTAAAAACTTTCTTGTCTATAGTTTAACGACAACATTCAGCATATCCTTAGTGTTTTTATCACAGTATCGTGCATCATACACCAATGATTTCTACCATTTATACCATGTTATTAAAAGACATTTGTTAACGTATGAACCTTAATAACGAACTTAATATCGAACTAATTTTTCTTTTAAGCAATATGAATGTACTAAAGTATAATTTGTAGTAGAGTATATGTGTTAATTGATGTCATTCTAGTTTTTGTCACTATATGCTGTTTCCTTGTGTAGCCCAAAGGTATTGATTTTCTTAAATAGGATAACTGGTATTTCTTAAAAAATAAAATCCGTTACGTTATGTAGTACATTGAATAGATGTACCATACAAAACTTTATACCTCCTCATTTACGGACCGCAACCGTAATCATCTGTGACATAACTATCCGAAAATGATTTTTTTTAGATTTTTATTTTTGTTTATTGAAATAAGACCTTGAACTAGGTTGCATATGGGCTGATAGTACGAAGAGTCGTTTACAATTATTTTAGTTGCTATGTGTGCTTAGTACTGATTGTAACATTTGTATTTCCTAGTGCTTTAAATAGTTTACTTATAGATATATGTTTTGCGCATTTCAAGGAATCTATCAAACCAAAACTCTATTTGTAAAGTTGAAGTCATACCTTTGAAAGTGTTACGACTATCTGTGAAATAGAGGACCATGAATATCACTATGTTCCAGTCGTTTTTCTCTACTTTCTCTATCCACCCTCAAATTGGCTTAAATTTCTATCAAAGAGTTTAATAAGCTAATTCTAATCAAACGAGCTTAAAAAATTGATGAAGCAACTCGTGAAAAATCGGATGCTGCATACAACTATATCAATCAACAAGATCTATATCTCGAGCGACATGTAAACACCATACGATATGGCATCTTCAGCAGCAAATGAGAAGTTGATCACTAAAAACGGCAAATTGAAACCTCGATAAGGGTTATCATTTAAACAAACTATAAAATGTCACTCTGCGGTCAACTTTAAAAGCATATGTTGATACCTTGTTAAAATATGTTTTATCTTGCACTTAAAATCGTCAAAAAAATATATTGATACAGTTGTTATTATACATGAATTGATAAGATAGAAAGAGGAACCATATTCTCATTACACATAAGATAACGGAGTTTTTCAATATCGCATAATTAATCTAAATCAACATTTAAAAGACAGGCTTTGGCATATAATTCATGTCTGATATCAGAGTAAAAACAACAATTAAAAAGAAAGTGCTTCTCATCTTCAATTTGACCATTATCACAAAAAATACACAAACGATCTTGTAGAGGTTCTGGTGGTCTAGCATATCGACCTGTTTCATAAGTAGACATAGTTAACGTGAATCAAACAATTGCAATATTTCGGAAACTGATACTTTAATGTTTACTATCTTCAATGATGGAGCTAACTGATACTCAATCATATAGATAACTAGAACACTCGTGTGAATTCGCGGGTCCGTGACTGAATTAAAGTACCAACGCCTTATATTTAGCCTGGATTTTGAGTATTTGTATAGTCATCTGATAAAGTCATACTGATTATAAGGTTCACCGTTTTCTCTGCTTTCAAAATATTTCTGTTTGAACCCGTCCTTGTTTTCTTACTACAACACACTAAATATAAACTAAATTTAATTTTTTAACTTATCAACCAAAATTGATAGTGGTATTGAGGTGGAAGAAAACAAACTTGTTTTAGTCTTAGATACATGATTTTTTAAATTAGTTGTTATTGGTTTTGAACTAGCTGTCAGTAACTGCGAGTACTCTCAGATCTGTGCTTAGTGTCTTTTTGTTTTTGGGATGTATAAGTACCCGTCCACGTCCACTCTGTGTTCATGATAGATGTTTTTCTATTCGTATCCATCTGATGAGTTAAGCCTTTTTCAACTGATTTTTATAGTTTGTTCTTATGTTGTACGGTTACACAACTGTCCCAGGTTGGGGGAGAGTGGAGCGCTCACAAACATGTTTAACCCCGCCACATTCTGTATGTGCCTGTCCCAAGTCCAGAACATGTAGTTCAGCGGTTGTCGTTGGCTCATTTCTGTCATATTTGTTTTTTTGCAAATTGTTTTGTTATAAATTAGGCCGTTAGTTTTCTCAATTGCATTGTTTCATACTTTTCATGTCGGAGCTTTTATAGCCAACCATATGATATTGGTTTTTCTCATTATTGAAGGCCGTACGTTTGCCTATAATTGCTTACATCCACTTCATTTGCACTTTGGTTGATAGTTGTCTCATTGGCAATCATACCACATCTCCTTATCTTTATATTCATAAATGGTGTACTATAGTGTAACATAGATATAAAACAACTTCTGAGGAATTCCGGGTTCTCCTGATAGAGGATAGATTTACAGAAGGTAACAGGTAACCTGAAATTACATGTAACATATACTATTAGTATCAGTATCGGATTCGACCTGGAACATGTTAATTATTGGTAATAATAATTATGTGGAAAACAAAACGGCCTTGAATGGTGCAATTTTTAAACAACACCATTGTCCCATATTAGTTATATATGAAGTTTAATTCTTTGATTCGTTGTTTTTACGTCATGCCGTCTAACAAATTGGACTTCGTTATTTTTGTAGTATAGATGTTAATAACAGAAAATAAATTATCTAATATATGAGTATTTCAGTTAAATATTGGATGGACCAAAAAACTTATTTGCCAGAAACACAATTTACAGAAAAAAAGGTGAAATGTTAAGAGGCAGCAGACGAATTTTAAAAGGTATTACTTGAGGGTACCTCAGGGTAGTAGAGTGAAAAAAAAACCATTTCCCATTTGGTTATATGTATTCCTGGCTATCCACTTTCAAGTCTTCCTATAACATTAATTGTTAACTCGTTCTTTTCTTAAATATGGATGATATTTTTTTCAACTCGACTTAAATCAATCAGTTACCGAAAGCATACTTATTGTAACTTATTCATTATATTATAGGTCCGATGGTATGGTATCAACAGTTTGAATATGCTATTAGTCATTGGCTACAAAAAGCAACTGAACACGTTATTGGCTGTGTATTATGTAGTCCAGGATGTTTCAGTTTGTTCCGTGGATCTGCAATATTAAATCATGATGTCCTTGAAACATATACTACAATTGCAGAAGAGGCAAGGCATTGTTTGCAATATGATCAAGGTATTAAGTGAACCAAAGTTATTTTTATGCGCACTAATGTCGGGTGGAACATTTTCGCTGATACAAATAAATTCGAACTGCCTCTGGTATAACAAAAGTTTAACTAATTTAAACTGAATTCAGAAGTTGTGTCATGATATACTTAAAGTAAATGTTTTATCATTCAAAACAAGTTGCTAGAGTTTCCCCCTTAAGTTGAAGGTCAAACTGTGACCTTTAAATGCACAATAGCAACTAGAGCGTTGTTCCTTTGCTATTTTGAAATTATAAAGAATTAAGGTTTCAACTCCCTCAGGCAAAGTTGACCTTAGATGAATTTGGCTATTTGTTTTATGTATTTTTGTCATATAGCTCTTCAACTGTTTCGGTACTTATACATCCCCCGGATTTCAAATGTTTGGCTTTGAGCGTTCCTGATGAAGGTAAATCTAGAAAAGCGCTTCGGACGCATGAAATTATTAAATGTGTTGTTTTCATTTTTTATGTACGCGTATTAATACAAAGAATCTTTCGTCCATGAATGTATTACCAGTCCAGTAATAAACTCTTTTGTGTTGGCATGAAATGTCATCGATAAATTCATCTTCTGTAAAAATACTGTTTATTAAATGTTGAACTGTTTAAATCCTTAAGGTATTCTATCAAAAAGAACAGATTAATCTTTTGAATATGTGTTTGATTTTCAAATATTTCGGCCTTGGGCACCAACGAAGAGACATTCAGTGTCGTAATGCGCACCTAGCGTAGTAAAATAAGTACAGTTAATGTAATTACTACTCCTAGGTCGATACATCTGCTGGTGAACTGTAAGTCCCAAGAGTATCACCAGCGCAGTAGCCAATGCCGGAATGAAAAAACGATATTGTACTAACAAATTTTGCTGTTATAAAAGTTTATAAATTATTTTTAATTAAGGAACATATTTCCCTCAAGCAAAGCTCTGATTCCTTGTGCGGTTTTGGGTATACGTTTTGTCCGTTTTGGTTTATGAGCTCTTCATGTGTAAACATGTTTAAGAGTTTTGAATAGTTCGGCCTCGAGCATCACTGAAGGAACATTTATTATCGAAATGCACATCAGGTACAGAAAAAATTGGAACCGTTAATGTTATTGCCTTTGTCGTATAAGGAACGACAACGGTTTCGAGTTTTGGTTATAAATGCTCTTCAACTTCCTACTTGATTTGGCCTTCTTACAGTTTTGACCCGAACGCCAATGATGAGTGTTTTATGGACCACGTGTATCTGGCGTACCAAATCTTGTATCTTTGATGAGTTGACGCAATTTTGTGAAAGCCCTTTCGTTAGCTGTTCTCATGAAACGTTTGTACTTTTACATTTTGGGGTGGGCGGATCTAAACAAGATTTTCAAAAATGTCGTACATCTCAAGATGTCCCACAAGTTGATATCATACTGAGGAACAAATTAATTTTAATGCATAAGAAATACTGAAATATATACTTTTTGTACAAATATTTTAACTAAAACTGGTCAGGAATAATGTGAAACATTATTATATGAAACTTAATAGAAGAAAATCATTGACAGGTGAGGACCGATGGCTGTGCACACTGCTACTTCAAAAAGGATGGAAAATTGAATATTGTGCAGAATCTGATTCATACACATTTGCTCCCGAAACTTTTAATGAGTTCTTCAATCAACGTAGACGTTGGACACCATCAACCATGGCTAACATTTTAGAAATCATTCAGGACTGGCAAAATGTTACAGAGAGCAACGAGAATATATCTTTTCTATACATTGTCTATCAAGTCCTTTTGTTTGTGTCAACAATTCTAACACCAGGGACTGTATTCATGATTATCTTGGGAGCCTTAATTGTTGGATTTGAAACCATACCACCATGGTTGGCACTGATATTGAACCTACTTCCTGTTATAGTGTTTATATTGATGTGTTTGTATGCATCCACCCAACGACAGGTATGTTCATGAAACAATTGATGTATACATATATTCAATATGAAACTTGATGTATACATATATTCAATATGGAACTTGATATATAACAATCACAGTTATAACATATATAATAAAGAGTACAGTTTTATTAAGTATGACTTTTTTTCTCCTGGAAATGATATTTATATAGATCTTTTTTGTCCTGTTGACAGATAAAAAAAAAACAAGCTTATTAAAAATTGTTAAATGAATATCAACTTGGTTAATTTACATTCTCAATGCACTTTTGTCCTTCTTTATCCCAGAGCTGATTAAAGAACAGAACATCTGTATATCACCATTTTATTTTTCAGCTGCAAATGGCAGCTATTTTGTCTTGCATATACGTTATTGTAATGGTTGTTGTTATGATCGGAGTTGTACGAGACGCCATACTGGAGGGATTGTGTTCAACGACCACAATTTTCATAATATTTGTGGCTGGAGTTTTTGTAATATCCGCTTGTCTGCATCCGAAGGTAATGCATTGATGAATACTTTAGATATGTGTTACCAAGATGGGCATTTATTAACTTTTACAGAGCATAAGAGTATAGTTAAGGGTATAACTGAAAATATATAAAAACAAATGTATCTTAAAGAATATCAAGTATATTTTTTTTAAATTTCTGGCAATCAGCAAAGCTTATAAAAAGTTTAATCAAATGGAGATTTCGCAGACTAACAACAACGCAAAATCAAATTCACAAATTCACTTAAAGAAGCATTCCCGTTTGAATGGTTTTACACTAGTAATTTTTGGGGCCCTTTATAGCTTACTGTTTGGTGTGAGACAAGGCTCCGTGTTGAAGACCGTACTTTGACCTATAATGGTTTACTTTTATAAATTTTGACTTGGATGGAGAGTTGTCTCATTGGCACTCATACCACATCTTCTTATATCTATCATATCATGTTAAGTAGGTATAGTGTACATTTATTAATCCTCAATGATGGACAGGGGTGCCTAAGAATGGTCAACTGGTCGCGCTCTTCCATTGGTCATTTAAAATCACTGGCTGATTCATTGCATTCCAATATGCTTATCACATGGGTTGTAAAAAATTTAGTAAGAGCGATTTGTATTGTAAGTAGTCGTTTCATCACGCCTGAACATCGGAAAGTTTTTTAGGTTTTCTTTTCATTGACGTTTACTCCACAATTTTTGTGATTTAAAATCTTAGTTGATCATTATTTGAACTACATTTTGACACCCGGAGATAATTTAAAAACTGAATCAATTAAACATCAGTCTGCAGAAGGTACAAACAACATAACGGTAACATTATATATTCAATACCTAGAATGTTAATGTTTAATGTGTAATAGATATACAGAATACATTTGAATTTCTTTCATTTCCAAAGTTTTTCTTCAAAGTCATAATCAAATTGATATCGAAAGGGTTAGATTGGCAAAGCAGCCGTTGCAATTGCATTCAAACATATCCCTTTATAGCTTGCTGTTCGGTGTGAGCCAATGCTCCGTGTTGAAGGCTGTACCTTGGCCTATAATGGTTTACTTTTATAAATTGTAACTTTGATGGAGAGTTGTCTCATTGGCACTCATACCACATCTTCCTATATCTATATATTATTTAGTTTATATGCCTGAAACTAGTATTACTTTGCTGCTGTAATATGATACATCAAATTTCTGTTCATATTAAAAATAAAGAAAAATAAAAAAGGTAACTTATTGAATGCACGATTATCTATTTCTACTTGTATGATCCTTTACTGTTCAACTACTCGGATGATTGAGTTGTATGTAAATGATTACATATAAATCATACATGATAAGACAACATGATCACAGAAACATAACAAAACCTCGAAAGGTATAAAAATATCTGCATATTCAAATAAAATGCATTTGCACATACCGGCTTGTTAACTCTATTCAAATCTTACTAAATATGCATCATGAGAACATTTACAAAAAGGCTTTTTAAGTGGAAAAGTGTGGTAAGATCTTCAAAATTGAATCTTACTTTGTTTTTAAAATTAGAAGATGTGGAAGGATCGCCAATTAGACAACTATATGCCACACACAAACTGACGTATATGTAAGCTTTTATAAACCACCGAAGTCGTCTCAAAAAAGGAAAATAAAACTAAATCCGTATTAGATTTCAGATTGTGATTAATTAGTGAATGTTGTTTATCATAAAAAAATGTGTTCGCCTTTTTAAAAATGAACTTTTACACATAAATCTATATTACAGTATTTGTCAGCAGCTTCATAAATCTATTTACATTAAAACTTCGTTGTAGGAATTTCTCTGCCTTATACCTGGACTGTTATATTTTCTGGCCATACCTTCAATGTCAATGTTGATGTTTTTATATTCACTTGGAAATCTTCATGTCACATCATGGGGTACAAGAGAAACAAAAACAGAGTCTGTAGACAAAGAAAACCCAAGGCAAAAGCCTGAAAAAGAGGAAACTGGATATTTCTGCTCACTGGGAAAGTTTGTCAGGTTATATATTTATTCATATTTTTGTCAATGAAATTAGTCTCTGCTTCCATTAGTTCCAAATCATCGGAACCAAATATTTTGTTAAGCCTAAGTTAAAGTCATTATATATTCAATATTGTTTATACTAGGATCTTTTATATTAAAGCCCCACCCGACCGTAAAGACAAATCTATTTCAAAAATAAAAAGGTTAGAAAATAAATCGGAGTCCAATAACATGATTGTATAACGCTATACAGAGACTTAAGAATTGAGCAAAACGAACCCAACTAATATCGGTAGTGAAATCTGGTGTTCCGATAGGGTACAAGTTTCCTGCTCAACTAGCTATATGTAAACCTATCGAGTTACTCTGGTAACAATTCTTCATTAAAACAAAGCCGTTGAAAAGGGGTTGGAAATGTCTCGTATTTTACCCTTTGACAACACCAAATTATTAAACCATTGACAAAAGTAATTCTCTTATCCTAAACTGTACCGCGAAAAAAACGTTCTCATAGCAAATGATTGGCAAGACTGTCATCATTATAAACGACACTTACATGTGATTTTAAATTAATATTAAATGCAACACTTTATATGAAGCAGAAGCAGCAAAGACTACTACAAATGAAAACAAAGGTTATGGTACTTCAGAAATGGTAGATGCCAGGTCCAGTAGTGATACACATCGAATAAATCGTAGCAAGTGATAATTCGTTGATTATGTTCTATAATTCTGTTATGTCGCAATCGAGTTAAAATACGGGATAGTGGTTACGACATGTGTAGGTTATTAGTGTTCATATGTGATATAGATGTTCCATAACGGTCAACCAAATCGTGATGGCGTCTGTGAATAGTAAATGTACCAACTAGGAAAGCTAATTCAGAAATTCATCGAAATGACTGTCATTAAAATACATGTATGAGATGCAAAGCGTCATAAACCCGGTGTAGCCAAACGGCTATATTTCAAAGTAAGGGACATGGTAGGAAAATACGAAATACTTCAGTGCTAATAATGGGAGATTTTTACCCAAATAAGCCAGTTAAAATAAACATTCGACAATTGGAACAATGCGATAGTTATTACTATGTCGGTTATCATTAAGAGGACAAAGATAATCGATGTGAAAGGTTATTACACTTAGCTGATTATGTTTCAGTGTGTATCATTCATTTATTCCAAATATATCTAAATATCATGAATATGTGGCATACTCTCTATTTTGCAGTTGCTTATTCTGTCCTTCGAATGATTACACCAAAGATGAATTTTTGTATTCGAACTTGGTCAAAGAAATGAAACGTATTGTACATAAAGATGAGGACACAGAAAACAGTGGTATGTTTGCGCAGTATCAGACAATTAAACTAAATTGTCATATATCATTAAAAAATATGTCAAATAAGCAAATTTTCTAGATGATAGTGTCTGTTGTCTTACCAGGGAACAATGACTACTAGTATGTATACAAAAGATACGAACACAGGTTATAACTATTAATACTAAAATTTGTAATTTTTTCAGTTCCTTTCAATTTAATTGCGCAGTACAAATTTGATTTCCTATTTCGTAAGGTAGATTAAGTGTATACCGCCATTTTGGATTGTAAGATAGCAGTTCAAAATCGGTCAAGTTCTTTCCTTAAAACTGTAAAATTTTGAAACAGAATAAAAATTTAGTTGTAAGACTGTTTATTTGAATAAAAAAAAAATTGTGATTTATTGCGTCATGTGCATTATATGAACTGTTTTAAAAAATTCCAAAATTCTTCTTTGTTCAATTCAGCAATATAAAGGGACATTACTTTTATAACATTTTTTAAAAAAGAAAATGTTAATGAAATTTCCATTGCTTGTAGGAAGAGAATAAGTACGGTGAAACCATTTGTTCTTTTTATTCTCTAAAAGCATATTATAAAACTAATATTCTCATATTTTTTTTCAAAATTCTATCTGATATATTTCTTTCTATTGACAAAAAATAGGTTTTTTCATGAATAATATATGCAAATATGGTTAATTTTACGCAACTTGTAGCTTGAAAAATAGCACGGTGACCCATACTTGTTGTCTTCTTTTTATTAAAAGCACTGTAAAATCTACATTTTGGAAAGGTATAAGTAAATTATATCTGAGGAAATATTTAGTGATGATCCATCTTAAGAGTAAAAAAAAAACATTGTAAATTCAATAGACTTGTGTTCGTCGGTTGAAAACTAAACGTTACGACTACAGAAAGAATTTCATTTTTCATGTTTTTCATCGTGAACTTTCTATTGTTACGTAGCTTTCAAAAAGCATCTGCATACAGTTTTTGTCTTCCTGGTGATAAACCTAACCAAGATACCAGCAATAAAATTTTATACGACACTCTCGCGTTTTGTTTACAAAAGCCTCATCGGTGACGCTCGAATAAACCAAAATGAAAAGTCCAAATAAAGTGTGAAGTTTTGAGGACTAAAAAAATCCGAAAGATTTTACCAAATACAGCTAACTTAAAGGTAATCTTTTCCTGAAGTAAAACGTATTTCGAAAGATTTAAAGTTTTATAAACAGTGTGTTAATGGCTTGCGTTTTATTCCATAACGTTATGGAAAGAGGGTTTGCAACTTACAGTATAATAAATATTTGAAAATCCAAAACCTAATACAAAAGTTGATCTGATCAACCAAAAGGACCTAAATTATAGCTAAAATCGGACAAGGAATCAGTACTTTGCATGAAGGAGACACATTCCTTAATTTAAAATGATTTCTAAAATTTGATAACAGGAAATTTAATTCAAAGCAATATCCGTATTTGCATGCCAGTACCAAAGTAATGGCTACTGGGCTGGTGATACCATTGAATAAGCATATGAACCAAGAATTCATAAGAGAACATATATATTCGTCTCATCGCTCATCGGACAATAACCAGACGTCCCTAAGGTTTAAATGAAGATTATTGCATATTTATGTATGTTACAGTGGATCACTGTAATGTGTGTTGTCAAAGCTATCTTTTTTTCTGGTTTTGACATCACTTAAATAAATTTGCCAACAAATGTTTACCTTATCTCCTTTTTTTTATTAATTTGCATATAGGACCAGAAAGTGCAGCTACCAATAAAACCTCCAGTGTAAATAATGAAATGCAAGAAAATTTAAAAACTGACGAAACAACAGTCAGAGTTAGCACTGATGTTGATACAGACAAGGATGAAATCGGCACTGGAAAAGCGGAGAAAGACACTATCATGAATGGAAAGAAGAAATCAAAAATTGATAAAAGTGCTAAGCGGACAAACCTTGAAGAAATGTATTGTTTGAGTGTCGATAAAAGTTTGCAGAATATCAATAAAGATGAGTCCAAATTTTGGAAGAAACTGATAAGGAAATATTTACAACCATTTGATAAAAAGGAACCGTACATACAAGAACGAGAAAAGAGACTTGCAGGAGAATTAGTTGACTTACGTAACTCCGTTTGCTTGTTTGTTTATCTTTTGAATGCAATTCTCGTGACAGTTATGTTTGGATTAACACAAGTTAATGCATTCAAGAACTCTTTAACTGCCGGATTTTCATGTGGGGGTAAAGATATTTCGGTAGTTCCCATAGCAATATTATTCAGTGCTGTATTTGGTATTCTTCTTTTAATACAGTTCTTGTGTATGCTATACCATAGGTTTTCTACACTAGTTCATATTACCGCAAATACTGATTTGCGTAGTACAGAAGATGAACATATTGCTGAAATAATGCAAAAAATTGCAGATCTCGCTACAAAACGAATAAAAGAAAAACAAGAAGTATTATCAGATAAGAGTAGGAAAGGCGTAGACATGAAAAGGTCTGTTCTAAAAATCGAGGAAAAGCAGTATATAAATTTTAAAGATATGATGAACAAAAATAAAGAAAAATTAAAATCAATCCAAGGATCTCTTTATTTGAAGCATCAGTCAACGAAGGAAAAAATTAAAGAAAAATGGCAGCTATTTTTGAAGGAACCAAAGCTGAAAGGGATTGCTGAGCAAGCTATTGAAGCTGTAAAAATGCAAAATAAAGTTTCTCCAGAGTCTACAAATGAATCTCCGAAATCAAATATTAATGATGAAGTAGGAAGCTATAGCAATGTCTGAACACATTTTATCTTACATTGGTAAAGCGAGCTGTAGATTATATTTTTCGAATGATGAAATTCAAAACTATAAAGACACCTGCCAAAGTGTATGTGTTGAACTGTACATGTCTTTTTAATGTTTTGTTATGTTTGATTGCTGACTTGTTGATATATACCTAATATTTAAGCTGATTCGGATAGAAATAGACGTTATGCAAATGAATATCAATACATCTCTTAAATTATTTCGGGTCAACAAAATTTATATGCAAAGTCTGTAACTGTTTGAATATTGAGTTGATATAAGAACCATAAAAAACAGACCCAAATTTGTCTTTTATATCGTTTTTGAATGTTCCAAACTCAATCAAAGTCTTACAAATTTTACATTTATACGTACACGTGCATAATGTCAATTTCTATCCGACGCAGCTCATTTATTCATTTATTTAACTGGAATAGCTATAAGGTTTCATAATACGTTTAAAAGATAACTTTCATTTATATAGGTTGGATATACGTTGACTTTTTTTTTTAATGACTATAAATTTTGTATGTCGAAATTATTATAAATATTTGAAAGGTGATGGTTTTGATTTGTTCTGTAATTTTTATAAATAAAAGTTTCACATATTTGCATATTGAATAAATCAACTGTTTAGAAACGACCAGCAGTGGAAGACTAAGAAAGAAAAAAAAATTTCCTAAAGGTAGTTTTTTTTTATAATCAGCGTGTGTTACGCGTGATGTTGTTCTTCATTGGTCAAATTTCAGTTATATATCAAACGTTTTTGCTTTTCTCTTATTTAACTAATGTGACGTCCCGAATAATGGCTACGATACCTGATGGCATCATATACTAGTTGATAGAACACAACGTGTTATTTATCAATGAAAAAGAAAGATAAAGTTTGCCTAAGTAAAAGCGTAGTATATCGCTGTTCAAAAGTCATAAATGACGTGTGAAATTATGTAAGTAATAGATTTCAGCATAATGACTCATTTTAAACGATATTTCTCCACTATCGACATTTGAATTTTAAATACTCACATCTGACATATATAACCTGACATTCGTACTAGTCTTATTGTATATCAACATGTATCCCTGTTGCCTTCTGCATTTAGATTAGTCCCTTATTAACCTAATCAAAAACTAAAAACTTAAATGTGCTCTCAATGTCAGAGGTGTTTCGTTATTTACAGTAAACGACGCAATATAAAAATAAGGAGACGTGGTATGATCGCCAATGAGACAACTTTTCATTACCGTTCAAATGAAGTGGATAAGAGAAATTGTAGGCAACTGTAAGGTCTTCAACAATGAGAAAATCCCATACCGTATAGTCGGCTTTAAAGGGCCCCGACATGAAAAATATGAAATAATTCAACTGAGAAAACTAACGGCCTAATATAACAAAACAATTTACGAAAAACAAATAAGACAGACATGAATCAACGACAACCACTGAACCACAGGCTCCTGACTTGGGACAGGAAAATACAAAATGTAGCCGGGTTAAACATGAGCGCTCAACCCTCACCTAACCTGGTATAGTGATTTTACAGCACACAATTAGAACAAACTATAACGGTCAGTTGAAAAGGGCTTTACGCATCAGATCGATTAAAAGCAGATAAACATCTAACAAAACAAAGACCAGACGTGACAGGGTTTTTATAAATCCCTAACAAAAAGAGACACATGCGCGGTGCTGGTTATGTTTGTCATGTGTTAGCGGTTTTGAAGCGAAGAAAAACGATCGAGGTTATCAAGCATTATGTCTAATTCTATGATATGAATTCATTTCCATATAAAAAACACGGAAATAGGTCGACGAAAAGTAGTTTTTATCCTGAAGTTTGCATTTGAGGTCTCAAAATCTGCAACGCGGAACACTGAGGAGGGTTGTTGAGGGAACGACGCTTTGTAGACGTCTGCTTCTGCTTGCTGGAAAAAATCATAGGCCGGTACCTTCCGTGCAATACATCATTTGGTGCTAACAGTTCTCCAAAAAGGAAAATCTGATACATTTACTTATATCTTGATCGTTTGTTTCGCTTCGAAACCACCTCCCCTTGCCAACAATAGCCAACACCCTGCGCGTGGCGTTCACACGGTGATATTTCACCTTTTGAATCGGTTACATTTTGATATAGGTTTTATTGAAAGTAGACAAATATCGAACGAGACATTTTGGTGGGTTTTTAAGATGTCATGCAGGAACTGTATTTGTCATTTGCAGTGATATGCAAAAAGATTGTTTTTTTTTGTATATTTGACGTCATCAGGGGTGGTAGCCTTTTTCGTGGCGTCACAGAAGCACTTACACAGGAATAAAGAACATTCTACGCCATAATTGAATTTTGACAACTAAAAAACTCAGCTTAAACGAAGTACAATGTGATTCATAAAATGACAACCGGTTATGAAAAGTATCAATTGGCTACTAAATATGTTTCGATATGGTAAGGTCCAGTACGTCAAGCTAACTTTGGTTGGTTCATAGTACTAGTTTAATAGTCTCTATTACGAAGTTGATTTTTCGTCATCATTAAACATGTTTAAAAAAACTCATCGAAATAACTGGCTTATAATTTGGAACGCCAGACGAGTTTTTCGTCTACATACGACTCGTGAGTGACGCTCAAATCAAAACAGTGTGAAAGCCATTTTGAAATCAATTACCAAGTTATAGAGCAATAAAACCGAAAATTCCAAAAGTTGTGTCAAACAGGGCTGGCCAATCTCTGCCTTGATACAAAAAAAAATAGTGTTTCATATAATTTAAAACAACATCTGTGTTAATTTTTTGTTAATAGTTTTATTCAAAATGATATTAACCATAAATGTTAAAATGCTGTTCAATGATTTAAATACTCATGTGTGAATGAACAATTCAATATTGTTATGTTACTTTAGGTCACACAAATTGATTGATTGATTGATTGATTGGTGATTAAAGCCACTTTCAGCACTATTGTATTTTTATGTGGCGTTCAGTTAATATTGATAGAGGAAGCCACAGTGCCCGGAGAGAACCACCGCCGTTCGATAGGAAAACTGACAATCCTAGTAAACTAAGATTGGAGTAGAGCGCACCTACCACGTGCGGGATTCGAACTCACAACCTCAGTGTTGACAGGCTACTGATAAAGTAGTTCGACTACTTAGACTACACGGCTACCACAACCCCTGTCACACTAATAAATTAAGCAACAAGTAACCGTAAAAAGTCATGTAGACTCAATGTAAATTAAAACTGCATCAATATTAGCTTTAATACTGTCTTATTCTCCATCAGTAAGTGCACAATATATTGACAAAATTGGTTGAGCAACCCAAACAAACATAATAGGTTGATATGGCAATAATTGGGATGTAGCAGCCACAATTGTATAAACAACCATCACAGACAGACACCACAACTGACTAAAAATGCAAACAAATATACAAATAAGTAAAACAGTTTTTGTTGTTTATAGTAGATTTACTAGGACGCCAATAAAATTATTTTGTTGATTATAGTATAAACCGTATACGGAATAAAGTTTCTCGATAAAGTACAAATTAATTAAAATATGAAAACTTGTGTAAGCAAAATGGAAACAACACGGTAAACACATGTTGCGTCCGAAACGGACCTCAGGAACAGGCTGCATCAGGAAAAAAAACGATAGCGGGATAACTACCGAGTCATGTCATAAGTTATACGACCAAAATATACATAATAGACATACCGCTGTCCCAGGCTTTTGGTGTTTTGAGAACTCTATAACATGTTTAAACCCGCCACATCCTTGTTGTACCTGTGCAAGTCAGAAGTCTGTAATTTAATGGTTATCCTAGGTTGCTGTCTGGCGGATTTGTTTTCCATTTATATAAATCATGCTGTTGTTTTTTTTATTTGTCATCTTTTCATACCGAAGTTTTCTGAAGATTACTATATGGTGTGGATTTTTTCATTGTTGAAGGCGATGTAGTTTCCATCATGCATATAGCTTGGTACCTTCTCATATGTTGGTCTCTTGTGGGCATTTGTTTAACTGGCAATCAAACCTAATGAATATCTTAATCGTGATTTTGAGAAATTCAAGAAGTCATTTGCATCTATGATATTCATTATCCCAAAGAATACGGTAAACAATAACGTCCTTTGAAGAAAGTCCATGAAAGACATAATCAACTGGCATTCATAGCAAGTTTGAAGTGAGCAGTACGTACTAAAGCATTGCTACAAGAGACTATTCTTGACTTCTTTGAAATTACCAACAAGTAGTTTCTGATCAAACATTACATATGTTTTCAAAAGTCGTAATGGTATAATTGTCATCATGAACTTGTATTACGATTAAACTATTCAAAACTGAATTTGTTTACAAGATTTAATCTACTTTTACAAATAAGTATGTGAAAAAACAAATGATTCATCACATATTTGCACAATTAATAACGTTATATTGTGAAAGTACCTATTACTCACCGGTGATTAGGTTATTGATGTACCACTCATTAAAAATACCAGGGTTGAAATGATTTATGCCAGACGTGAGTTTTGTCTAAATAAGACTCATCAGTGGTACTCGTATAAAAATACTTGGAAGGTCAAATCATTTATGAAGTTGAAAAGTATTGACACAAATATTCCCAAAAGTTGTGCCAAACACGGTTAAGGCCATTTATGACTGGGTTAAGGAAAGCGTTTTGAATAGTTAAAAAAAAAATGCAGAAAAATAACCGCATCAATGGTATCTGTGTTTACACAGAAGTGATGAATACTAACTCAAAGATACTCTCGGGGACGATTCGTCTACCAACCTGTATGTGACTGACACGTTTGCAAGTGCTTAAATAGAAAAAAAATCAGATAACCAACGTATAGTTTCATAAAGTCCTATCTAATTTCAATGAGTAATACAACAACGATACACAGAATTACAATTTGTTAAACCCAGGGAAATCCAAATTTTTTTTTTTAAAATGCGTAGATTATTCGAAGTAATATTTTAGTGATCAGTGTTTAAATGATAGTTTACATGTAACTGAAAACTCGACATTTGAAATAGAAAAATCGATGGATAATGACTGTTTTTGTAATAAAGCAATACATTTTTGTGAATAAAATCGAAAATAATGTAAATAATCCTGCCTAGCCAAACATTTATATAAAAATTTTGTCAGAGGATCTCCCCTTTTCCAAAATAAGCCCGGTATTAATAATTTTGACATGTTGTCAAAGTCCACTTTGAATCTTCCGCTTCTTTGTTGTCACTAGCAACATAACGCAAAGGGATGTCAGTAATTTTCGGCCTTCAAAAAAAAAAAAAAAATACGCATCGGTTTGGTCTTTTTTTTATGGGAGCAAAATTTGGTCAGGAATTTTAGCAAGTTAATAATCTCCCGTTACTTTCCCCTAGAGATAGTTGACGACTCTATTACATGTGTATCTTTCAAATATTATACGGGACACTCGTCCTTTACTCAGCAAACAAGGCATCTGTATCAAACAAACAATGCAATAAAATCTGCAAATTAATCTTTTATTGTAACATCCTACCATCAATTTTGAAATGGTCATTTTTAAAAACGTTATTGTAATACGAAGTAATGAAGACCAAACTAAAACATTGAA